TGATTCATTCATAAATCTGCTCTTGATCAATAAATATTTTTCATTAAGAATATTCATGTTTGAAATGAGAAATGATCATCTTTCTATTTTTCATAAAAAAAAAAAAGTAAAATTATCCTTTGTTATCTTATTTGAGCCTTTTGAATTTTTTTTTTTGAGGAACCTTAACTAAGGATCACCTCTACACCAAGGGCAAAATTTGAGAAGCTTGTTTATCCCTAGTGATTTCAAGGGCAAAGCCTTTTTGTGCTCAATTTTTTCTCAAAAAATGATAAAAAAAAGAAAAAAAATTGATGGGACAAAATGTCAAGGTGTTCTACATGAAAAAAAATGATCATTGGTTTTGATTACCTTTCAAATATAGTTTAGGCTTAGTTTATCCATTTCTTTCATAACCATTCACCTTAGCTTACATTACTTCCCTTAAAAGTCTATTTTGATCGAATGTAAATACTCGAATTAAAAAATCATGAATTGAATTAGGGTAGGTCTGCCATTAGATTGTTTGGGATTTTAATCAAAGTGTCATTGACAAATCAAAGGGAAAAAGAAATAAAAAAAAAGATGAAAAAATGTAAAAAAAAAAAAGGCAAAAGAAAGAAAAAAAAAGAGAAAAAAGAAAAGCTTAAACTGAAAATCCGAAAAGGCAGTTTAAATAAAAAAAATAGAGACTCAGAAAAATAGCTTCATTTGAAGACTCCTGGAATATGGATTTTGTTCAAAGATCGAGAGTATCAATAGAATGTATTTTTAAGAAAAAAATTCTAAGTTAGAGTTCAAAATTATCTGAACAATTATTATTCTGGATGTTAATATCCCATAGCCACACTGTTTTGCTTTATCCATCTTTGATTTGTTTTTGACCAGATTTTCTTTTGATAACGAATACTCTTTTTTTTTTTCTTTACCAAGTTCGTATCGTTTGAAGGAATTAGAGAAATGTATCATATTTTTCATGAATTAGAATGATGATAAATAAGTGAATGACAATGTCCGTAAAAGATTTCTTCATCCCTTTGAAAGAAATCTAAGATGACAGAAATGAAAAAAGCTTGAAAAGATTATTTGAAATGAGTAAATAAGGTGACCCGTTGCCGTAATGTCTAGGTTGGGAAATCTACCCATTAGACACAAAAATAATGGAATCACCACCAATCTTTTTTTAGCTAGGTGTGATTGGCCATCTATATGAATCTATTCTCTTTAAGGTTATCCTAAATAAGTTTTGATTTATATCATTAGAACTAAGGTTCGAGAGTCAATTACATACATGGATGGTATCAACACCCCTTTACGCTCAAAATTGGTATCAAAATAATTATGTGTTATCTAATTTAAACCTTATCAAAGATGGTTTTTATCATGAAAATTAATCAATTCCAATTTTTTTATTTATTTACAACATATTGTGATACAAAAATTCTATCAAGAATATCAAGCAATCATACAATCATGCAATAAATATTAAATCATACAATGCTAAAATTATCATGTAAATATATTACAAATCATATCAAATATCATGTAATAATATCATGCCTAGATTATGCTAAAATATTCATGCAAGAATGTCATGCAAATATATTAATTATCATGCAATAATAACAATAATGTAGATATATAATATCATGCAAATATATTATGATGCAATAATATAAAATACCATGCAAATATATTAATAATCATTCATGCAAATATATAATCATGAAATCAAATATAATCTCACAAATATATTATGTATAATCATGCAATTATGCACACAATAAATATAGAAACATGCAATTAAATATCAGTCAAATATAATATTAATCATGCAATAATATATAATATCATATCATGCAATAAATATAAAATCATGCAATAATAAATATATAAATAAATAAGTATGCAAATAAATATATTAATAATCACACAATCACACAAATAAATAAATTAACAATCATGCAATTAACAATATAAATCATGTAAATAAAACATGCAAGTAAATATATAAACCATGCAAATAAATATACAATTAAATATATAATCATGCAGTCACACAAATAAATAAATTAATAATCATGCAATTAGACATGCAATTAAGTATATAATCATGCAAATAAAAATATATAAATCATGCAAATAAATATGTAATTAAATAGATAATCATGCAAATAAACATGCAATTAAATATATAATCATGCAAATAAATATATTAATAATCAAGCAATTAAATATATTAATAATCATGCAATCAAATTAAATATAATCATACAAATATATATATTAATAATCATACAAATATATTAATAAATCACACAAATAAATATATTAATCAAGCAAACATATATATTAGGCAAATAAATTATCATGCAAATATAATATTAGTCTTGCAAATTCATGTAAAAATAAATACCATGCAATAAATATAAAAATAAGAATAAGTAATTTAATATTATAAAAGTTATGCAAAAAAAAAAGTAAACATTAACTCAGTGGATCACGGGTTCCAACTATTTTCACCTTTTAAAAATTGATGCTTCTTACTGTAAATTTTAACCTTTCTTCCATAGACTCCAACTATATCTTCTTGCAAATTTTTTGGCTTGATTGCTTTTTCCTCGTTGATTCAAAACTTTACCCAAATTTCATCTCTTTTTGATGACTTCTGTTTGATCTTGAAATCAATTGCTGTGAGGCCCCCTTTTTTTATCTTAGATTCAATGTTCTTATATAGAGATTGAATCTCTTTTGATTTGGAAGAAATTAATTCAACCAAATCTATGAATTTTCTCCATGTTTTATTCTCTATGTAATTTTTCCTTTTTCAATAGATTGAGTCCCAAGTCTTTCTAAAATTATTCAACCATTAAAGTTAAAATCTAAGATAGAATCTAAGAGTTGAATTGAATATAAGATTTTCCTTGCAAAATCTCACTTTTTTCTTTTTTATTTTTACTCTTTTTTTTTATTCTACCAATTGACTTTGACTCTTTTGACTAAAAAAACAAAAATTAAACTAAAAAAATTAAAAGACAAATAAAATTTAGGGCTTAATCTTTGGGCCCAAAATTCACTTTTCCAATTAAAGCCCAATTGTATAATTAAAATTAAAATTTGAAGCCCAATGAATTTCAAAAAATCCCTAAACAAAATAAGATGTATACACTAGTGATAAACACAATGATGGATTGGTCAACATAACCTATAAGTTGTGACCTGATGGAGAAAGTAGCATGGATCGAATGATGGAATTTGTTTTGAGATCAGTAATGTTGAGAATATGAGAAAGAATATATGGGATGATGGAGTTTTGAGAATCTTGTTACCACAATTAAAATTTCATGGCATTGATTTAGTGATATTTGCATTACATATATTGTGTTTACATTGTATTTAAATCCTTGATAATTATATTTGCATTATGGCTAGGGCATGCATTTGCATCATGCGTAAAACATTTGAATCATAGTATGACATTTGCATTATTATTTAAGACATGCATTTCCATCATTTAGTGAGAATCTAGATTGTTACATTTACAACATGTAGAAGACATTTGTATTAGCATTTATTGCATACCAAATTTGACTTTGATTGTAGAGAATTTTTTACTTTTGAATTCTCAAATGAAAAAGATCTTTCATGATGAGATTTTTTTTTACAAGAAAAACTTTTCAAAAAATTTTTTAAATATAGAGCCTTTCGAATGAGAATTTTTGAAACTCTGGATATGAATCCCAAAAGGTTTTGAATGAGAATCTTTGAATTTTGACTACGAACCTTGAAATCTTTGATGTGAATTCTTGAATTTTTCAAATATAAAACTTTAAATTTTAAATGTGAATCATTAACAAAAATCTTTTGAATGTGATTTTTTAATCTTGTATGTGACTTAAAGTTTGTAGATCTCTTGCAAATTTTTGAAATTTTTATGAATCTAAATCTCTTACAAAGCTAAATTTCTTGTGAATCTAAATTCTTGTGAATCTTCTATTTTTGCGAGTCTGAAGTTTTGTTAATCTTCTATTCTTGTGAATTTGAAAACTTTTACAAAGTTTGAATCTTTGTAGATTTTGAAATCATTACAATTTTTTTTTTATTTTTACGAATTTTGGAGTCTTAGAATCTTTCAATTTTTGTTATGAAACTTTACGAATCTTTGAAGTTTTGTTATGAACCTTTAAATTTTCAAATTGTGAATCTTTGAATTTCAGGTAAAAAGTTTTCAATTTTTTTGGACTTGAACAAAATGCATGAGGGGCACAATTTTCGAATTTTAAGATTCTGAAAGCCTCTATTTTAGAGGATCTTTTTCTCAAAGGCATCTGAAGACGATCTATAACACTTTCGGACATGATCTTTAAAAATTTATGAATAATTTGATCTCATATTTTGATGTAGACTCAGCCTAATCATCTTCGATCTTGATTCAGCTTAAATCATTTATTTTTTTGACCTACGATTCAATTTTAGTAACTCATCTTCGATCTCAGTTTAGCCCACATCATTTATATTTTTAACCTATGGTTCATTCTTGATCACTTATCTTAGATCTCGGATTAGCCTAGATCATTTATTTTTCTGACTTGAGATTTGATTCCTATTAATTATTTTTAACTTGAGATCAATCTAAGTTATTTTAATTTTTTGACTTGCAGCTTAATCCTAATCACCTTTTTTTATACAACTCAATCATTTATTTTCGACTTCAACTTAGTACAAGTTATTTATTTTTCTAATTTTGTGTTTAAATCAATTTCTATTTCAAAATTGTTTAACTTTTTAATAAACGAACCCATTTTATATTTTTAAAATTGATTAACCTCTATTTAAAAAAGTTCATTTCGTATTTTAAAGTCATTTAACCTTTAAATAAATGAACCCATTTCATATTTTTAAAATTGATTATCTTTTATTTAAAAAAATCCATTTTATATTTTAAAATTGTTTAACATCTAAATAAAAGAACTTATTTCATATTTTTAAATTATTTAACCTCTGTTTAAAAGGATCAATTTTTCATTTTAAAATTGTTTAATCTCTATTTAGATAAACTCATTTCTTAATTTAAATTTATTTACCTTTGTTTACAAGATCGCTAAGTTCAACCAAACATAATGATTGTCTACATTTTTGTGTAATTTCTATTTTACAAAACATACAAAATGAACAACTATAAATGCCCCATTTTATTCGAAAATTTTTTCAAAATCAAAACCAAACTTTGGCCATAAATTGAATCCGCTTGAGAAGCTTTAAGCCCAATTGAAATTTTTTATTTTTAACTTAATTTTTTGTCTAATTTTACTTTTTTCTAAAAAAAAGTTAAAAAAAGAAAAGTTTTAATGAAATCGGGTGAAGATGATTTTGAGAGATGTTTGGGATTTAATTTTATAATCAATTAACATTAAAATTAAATCAAATCAAATCACATTCAACACAAATTGGTTGATTGATTTTTCAGATTGAAAGGTATTAAATCCCTTTATAAACCACCAGCACACAAAAAATTGGAAGAGGCCATCCATCAACTAAATTACCAGCACGCACTAAGCCTCCACATCTGGCACCTAATCACCATCATCATCAAAACAGAACACCATTAAGAAGTAATCGGCACAACATAGAGTAATCAACAGCTTCCAATCAATTTCTAGAACACCAAGCAGCCTAAGCAAGGCCAAGGAATTCTTGGTTAAGGAAGATCTAGAATTAGTCAGTAACCCAGAAGTGTCAAATAGAAATCCCAGCAAACCGTGAGCCTTAATCAGATATTGATCAGCTGCAAGGACCAAGAGCAAACACAATAAGCAAAAATCAAGCAATCCAAAAGAGAACATTCTCCTGTCACCATTACCCTTTGAAGAAGCTACAAACTTGTAAATAGTTTCAACAAGCACCCACATCCAGTAATCAAATCCAACCCCAAAATAAACCCATCACACAATTGGCCTCCCACACATCTACAAAACTTCAAAGCCAATTTCCAAAAACGAAATAACAGAAAATCCAAACCAAGAAGAAGCAATACACAGCCCAAAACCAACACCACAATCGACCATTTGACATCACCAAATATAATCAGTAAATCTTAAACCCAAGATTAGCAAAAACTAAACCCCAATCTAGAAACAAAAAATCCCAAATTAAAACAAACATCCCAACCTATAAAACTCAGATCCAGTAACAACTCAAAGATCCAATAATCCAGGAAATTCAAGAACAAGCAAGCAGAATCAAAGAGCTTTGACGAGCAAAAGATAGAGCCAACAACAGAAATCCAAGCTCACCATGCAATCATCAAGCACAATATAGAATAGAAGCAGTTATACAACAGAATAAAAGTTGCAAGAAAATTCAAACAGTGTCTTTGATTTCGGGTTTTGGTTTGAACTTGTTTGCAAAAGTTGGGTTTCGGGCAAAAAACTAAACAGAAGGACGAAGGTCGGCAGAGGCCATTACTGAAAACCTGCGGTGGTGAAAGTGACGGAAAAGCATGGATTCTTGGAAAGCATCGAAGTCTCTGGCTCCGGTTTGTAGAGAGAAGGGAACAACGGTCTCATTTGGTGGTTGAAATTTCGATCCAGTAAGAGGCTCAGCGGAGACGGTTACCGAATACCCATAACGGTGACAATGGCGAAGGCGCACTAGATTCTGGAAAAAGACTAGTTGATTTCTGGGTTTGAAAGAAGAGCATATTAGAGAGAAGAGAGAGTTTTTAGGGTTAGGGAAAGAAACTAAAAATGGGAAAATGGAGGAAGTAGTCTGATTTTTTGGTTAAATACAAAGGTAAAATGGCGTAGCATTGGATGCTAAGGAACCTAGTTCCTTTGACCCATTTAAGACCCGTGGTTTGTTTCTGAACCGATCCAGGACCCGAGTGAACTCGTCTTGGATCCGCGCATGATCCGCTTACACAATCCGACCCCTTTTTTTTTTTCACTCTATTTTTTGTTTTGATTTGATTTGATTTTTTATTTTATTTTATTATATATATACATAAATATCTTTCCTTTTACTATTATTTTATTTTTTATTATTATTTATTATTTTAAATTGAACAATACATTATTTTATGAATTTTATTTTATTTATTTATTCAAAAAAATAAAATAAAAAAATTTTAAAAATAAATTCATGAATCTTACCAAACTACATGAATTTAAATTTTTTATAAATTCTAACAAATTACTTAAGAATCTCATAAATTAATTTTTATAAAAAAATTATTACTAATAAAATATTTTGTTTTGATTCTATCAAATTATCGAAGGATTGTATCTTAAATTTAATTTTATCAAATTATTAAAAAATTTAATATATTTTTTAAAAATAAAATTTACAAAAAAATCTCACCAAATTATTGAAAGATTTACATCAAAGTAAATATTATCAAACTATTCTTATGATTTTATTAATTATTTTTTAAAATAAAAATATATTAATAAATCTGATGACGAAGCCTTTTCATAATGGTACACTAGTCTCCATTAATATTCTTAAAGTGAGATAATTATTTTAAATCGCTACTAAACTATTGAAATAATTTTAAGATCAAATTTTAAATATTAAATATTTTACTAAATTATAAATATGGTTAAGGCTTTGATAGTTTGAAATCAAAATGATACCATCATTTGGATAGACACTGTGAGGGTATTATAATATTTCTCACGCATAATAGTACATTCGAACCTTAATTATGATTTCGTAGACTATAATTTACTAGTTAAAGATACTTAAATCAATCTTAAGACTCATTTTTAAATGAGATGAATTTTATTGGGTGACTAATCATACCTAAATAAAAAAAATAGTGATGACTTCTAAAGTTTATGTCTAACAATAGATTCACAAATCTATACGTTATGACATCATACTTTTAGTATTAACAATTTTAATTCAATGGTAAAAAAAATGTAAGTAAATACATAATAATAATATAATAATAATAATAATAATAATAATAATAATAATGAGAAAAGGAAGGATTGTTACTATCATATTTTTTAAAAATCATATTTTTTAGAAAGTAATCTCTTTAAAAAGAATGAAATAGAATATATACAAAGTAAAAAGAACAACATCAAAAAATAAAGAAAACAAATTTGAAAAATCCTAAACCAAAAACAAAAAAAAAATCACACTCTTGTTATGGCACTTCAAAGCCAAAAGGACTATCATTTTTACTCGAAAAATCATAATTAAAACATGCAAAGAATATATATATATATATATATATATATGGTAAAAAAAATAACAGAATCATCCCCGTAAAAGGGAAGCAACACCGTTAGAGACATAAAGGGTTATAAGGTTTTCTATCTCCTTAGGATTTTGGGTTTAGATATTACTAGGAGGGGTTTAACAAAATCGTAACGTGGAAGCCTAAGAAAACGACATAGGAATGCTCGGTGAAAGTTTGATGGCAATCGGTGACAAAAGATTAGGCTTTTAGGTTTTAAACTTTTGTTTGTTTCAAAATTAAAGCCACTAGGGTTGTAAAGGAGGTTAAGAGGGGCATTTGGATAAATTTTGAAAAAATTATGCTACTTATGAGCGACGGTCAACGACAACACTGGTGGTTATATGCTTGAATCTAAAACAAAGAAGGGAGAGACGCTGGAATTTATAGAGTGAGGAATAATTGAAGAAATGAAAAAAAACAAGTTTTTTTTTAACATAATGACACTAAAATGATGCGTTTTGAGAAGGTGAACAAAAAAAAAAAAAAAAAGGAAAAGTAAGAGGGGCAAGACCCAATCCGTGTTGATTCGTGGGCCTATTTTATTGTTATTGGTTATTTCTTTGTTTTGGACTCACTCCAAAAGATAGAAATGTATAATTTATTTATTTATTATTATTATTATTATGTTGTAGTAATAGTGGTAATTGTTGTTGTTGTTGTTTAATTTAAAATTATTTTTATTATTATTTCAATTAAAACTTATTTTTATAAATATTAAAAAAATTTATCCCCAAATTTTAATTTGAATTAAATTTATCGAATTATTTTAAAAAGTAAAAAATAATAAAAATAAAATACTTATACAAAATAATTTAAATAAATATGATCAAATATCATAGAAATCTTGACACTTGTTAATCATAATTTAATCATAATAAAAAGAATTTTCATGTTTGATAATATATTTTAAATGATAATTTTATTTCACAGTTACATTTTTACCGTTAAAAGAATTGATAACATGAAAATTAATATGTTTTTTATAACATTAATAAACAATATATTAAGCTATACAATAAAAGATAAATATATTTTAAACATCATATAAATTACACTTGCAAATGCATTTGTTTGATGTAATTTGCAAAAAAAGTAATTTATATTAAAACATACATAAAATAATTATTGTTTAATATAATTTAATTTAAAAAAATTTTGAGGGGAGCAATATTCTAGTTTTTGTAATATTATTAATTTAAAATTATTTTAAAAAATGTGTAACTAGTAGAGATGACAAATGGATAGATTGGATTAGGTTTGGATGGAATTATTTTAGGTTGGGTCATCTTGTGTCAAACAAAAATTATATCATTTTATTTCGAATTTGTATCATCTCATATTTAAATCATCTCAAGTTTGGATCATTCTCGAATAGTCATTGACTTTCAAAGTCAAATCAAATTGGATCTTAAATGAATTGTTTGGATAAAGTTAGATTTTATCAACTGTAATTAAATAATTGGCTTAATATTCAAATAAACCCTTAGGTTTTACTAAAATAAGCAAGCAAATCCTCAATCTTTTATTGCATGAATTAAAGTTATAAACTTTTATTTCATTGTAATCATACTCATTAAATCTTAAAAATAGATGAATGATGTCCAATTGATAAAATTTTTAAAATAGCATTTTCTCAAATATTTGTTATTTAACTCATTCAAAAAATATATAAATAAGTATTTTTTACAAATTAAATCATCCAATTAAAAAAATCTAACAAAAACTTAGATATTTTATACCTCAAGGTTCTAATTACGATGGGGTTAATGTGTAATCCAATGCTCAAATTATATTACTTTTTACAATTTGGTACTTAGTGAATAAAAATTCACAAACCAAGTACTTGAATTTCAATTCTATCTAGTTTATTGCTTTATTGATTAACACTGTTAGTCAAAATGTAAATTAGTCAATAAAAAATGACATGTGTCATAGAATTTTTTTAAAATTTTTTAAAAATTAAATTTTAAATAAAAAAATAAAAAATGAAAACTATTTTTTAAATTTAAGATATAAAAATATATATAAAATATCTATTTTATGACATTTTTAAAAAAAATCAAAATCTTAATTTTTCATTTTACTTGCTAACCAAAGAAGCTTCCAAAGAAAATGCTCTGGAGATCTTTGACCATTTCAATGGATAAATACAAGGAATCTGAATCAAACAGATTTTTTGGAAAATGTTTATTTTTTTAAAAAGTAGAAAATTTTTATTAGTTGGACTAGTTTATAAAAAATAATTTCTATTATTTGATTGTTTTATTAGAAATTTATTTTTTTTCAAGTAATATTGACATAACTATTATAATATTAAAAATTTTTTATAATAAAAATATATTGAAATTATTTTTATTAAAATTATTAATATTAAAAAATAACTATGTTTTAGTAATTATATTTAATATTTAAATATTATATTAACATAAAGCATTTAAAACAAAATTATTTATTATTTATATTAATATTTTAAAATATTTAAAATAGTATTAATATTATTAAAATATTTTTTATTAATATAATAATATAAAATAGTAATATTTGTTATTAAAATATTTATGCTATTAAAATAGTTATATTTTATATTGAAAATATTTATTATTAAATCATAACACAAATATTATTTATTTGTATTTATTATTTAAATAATAATATAAATACACAAATAATTAAAATATAAAAATAATATATTTTACGTGGAAAAATATTATGAAATTATTAAAAATTCATTTTATTTAAATAATATTATTATATTATTTAATATTAATTAATAAAATAATAAAAATATTATTTAATAAATTATTATTGGGTTAAATATAAAAATAACACCTTAACTGTATACTTTCTATTAGTTTGATACCTAAAGAAATAAAATTATCAATTTGATATTTTAACTTTTATTCTATTTATCACATTGGTACTTGAGACTATCGCTACTAGTTAATTTTATTAACGTGACATGAATATTTAATAAGATATTTATACGTGTAAAAAAGTCTAGTCAGTGTTATAATATCAATGACACGTTAGCATTAAAAGAAAATTTTTAAAAAATTATAAAAAATAAAAAAAAACTCAAAAATAATTTAAAAAATTAAAAATATTTTAAAAATTATAGAAAAATAAAAATATTTTAAAAAATTTTAAAAAACTCTAAAAAGTTTAATAATATTAAAAATTCTAAAAAACTTTTAAAAAATTCTAAAAAAATTAAGGAAACTTAAAAATTTTCAAACAAATCTCACAAAATTACAAAAAATTTAAGATTTTAATAAAAATTAAATTTTCTTAAAATTAAAAAAATAAAAAAAAACTTAAAAATATTTAAAATAAAAAATCTAAACTTTTAAAAATATATAAAATTTAAAAAATTTATAAAAAAATTTTGAAAAATTTTATTTTTTTTAATCTTACAAATTTAATTTTTTATATATTTTTAAATTTTTTTATTTTTATTAAAATTTCAAGTTTTTTTTTTATTTTCACAAAATTTTTAAACTTTTTATAATTTTTTAAAAATTTTCTATTTTTTTGAAAAATTTTGATATTTTTCTATATAGAAAGTTTATTAAAATTTTTTAGAATTCTTAAAAAAACTTTTATAATTTTTTAAGAATTTTTTTTGAATATTTCAAAATTTTTGAAAATTTTAAAATTCTTTTTGAATTATTTTAAATTTAAAATTTTTTTTGTGAATTTTTCTTTTATGCTAACATGACTTTGATAATATGATACTTATTGAACTTTTTTTTACACGTATCAGCATTTTATTAGATGTTCATATTATATCAATAAAATTGATTAATGACATTAATCTTAAGTGTCAACATGATAATAGAATGAAAGTTAGGATATCAAACTGACAAAAAATTTATAGTTTATGAATCATTTTTATATTTAACTCATTATTATTTTTATTAAAATAAGAATTTAATACTATCTATTATTTAAATATTAAAAATATTTATTTTTAATAATATATAAAATTAAAATATCAAAATTTTTTTGGTACATAAGAGACCATAGTCTAAAAATAAGAAAAAAAGGTTACAGATATTGAGATTCAAATTTTAAACTTATTAGATGTCCTATTTTAAGTGTAATTATATGAACTAATTAAATTAAGTTTGAAGTTAAAAAATTAAAATATTTTTAATGTTAATATTTTAATATTTTAATTAAAATTTTTTATTAAATTAATAATATTTCATGTATGATCAAATCAAGCATAAGCTTAGAATATCATGTTCAAGCCTTACTTGAGTAGAAGTATAAAAATATTAGAAGGGTTTTAATATTAATATTTTAATTTTTTAAACAAAATTAAATAAAAATATTTTAATAATATAATATTATTTAAGGTTAAATTAAATTAAGTCTGAATTTAAAAAATTCATATTTAATGCCCAATATAAATAGAATTATACTCACGAGTTTAGTAAGTAGTCTTAATTATAAATAATTTTTTTAAAAAATTATCTTTTCTTTTAAAAAAGATAAAATTATTTTTAAAAATAATTTCATTTTTTATTAACTAATAAATCAATTTTCATTTATCAATAAATATTTTTATCAAACAAACACAAAAAAGTAATAAAATCATTTTATCTTTTTTTTTTTTAAACAAATAGAAGCCAAAGTACACTTTATTATCCATTATCTCTCGATCTTGCTTCTCTTTTTATGGAGGTGATGTTGAATTTCACAAAATTGAACAAAAACAAGAATAAAAGTGCAAAATTGAAACCAATAAAAAAAACAAAAAAATTTGTAAGTAAAAAACAGAAGAGACAAAGGATTTACGAGCAACAAGCTGGAGAGCAGGAGTAAAAGTTGAGCATATGGCTTTTTCAGGTGCCATGTCGGGGGTGTTGTAAGAGATTTTGAAGCCGCTGAGTTGAGAAGTAACAAAACCCAGAAGTTGTGAAGATGGCCTTGTCTTTAGAGGCTCTCATTTGGGGAGCAGAACTGAAGTACTTGCGGTCGGAACAATTCTTGCCGGCTCAGGGACAGATCGATCTAATTTTTTTATTTTATTATTCGACTCAATTTTAAAAAATAAAGGTTAAAGATATGAAAAACCCTTAAACTATAATTAAAAAAATTATTTAAATTTTTATTATAATTAATTAATCACTATAATATTTATTTATATTTAATTAAATTTTTATTTGAATGAAAAATTAACATCATTAAATTTTTTAATTAAAATAAAATTTCATATTTCATCAATAAAATAAATTAAAATTTATCAAGTTATACAATTAATATATGTGAAAATAAAATAAAATATTTTATTTTTTTCTATATTCTCTCTCTCATTTTCTTTCTAAATTTTTTTTAAAGGTTAAATTGATTGTAATTGAGGATTGTTTGATTTAATTTTTTTCATGAGATTAGGTTTCGTTTAATTAAAGGTTTAATTAACTTAAAATAAAAAATTAAGAGCTCGATTAATTGTAATAAAATATTATAAGAGCTTAAATAATTTTATTAAATTATAATTTAAAATTTTTTTTTATCCTTTCACCAAAAATAAAAGCTAATATAATTTGTAGTTACGTGTTTAGAATCGACTTGTTTTAGGCAACATTAGCTTAAGTTAAAAATTAATGAAGTAAAATGTTAGATGAAATTAAAGTTTGAGTATTTGATTGTAAATTTTTTTATTAGATACTAAATTATAAAAAAAATGATATAATTTAAATGTTAAATTTCATATTAACCCATTACAATAAAATATAAATTTATAATTTTAATTTCATGCCATAAAAGATTATAAACTTATTTACATATCTTAGTAAAGTTAGATGGTTTATGTGTGTATTATTCCTTAAATTATTCAAAGTTCCATTTTTATCAATTTGTAGCATATTTTTAATTTTGATTTTTGACATCATAAAATTTTTTATTTAAAATATATAATTATAAGAAACTTTTATGCAAGATATATAATTTTATACATTGAATTTAATTAAAATAGTATAAAATTTTATTTTTTCTAATTTTTTCTGATGCTCATAATTAAGAAAAATAATCACCAAAAATTAATAAAAATAGGTAAAAAACATCTTAAAAGATAACATAAAGTTATTTTTATAGATGAAGTAAAGTTATTAAATGTTAATAAATTGTTGATTTGTATTATTATTTTAATTAAATTAATATTTTTAAAAATAAATTTATATTTAATTTAAATTTAAAATAATTTAAGTTTGAAACAATTTAAGTTTAAATCATTTTGAATTTAAATTATTTTAAAATTAAATTATTTCAACTTTGAATCATACTTTAAATTTAAGTTATTTTTTAATACGAATTATTTTAAATTCAAATTATTAATTTTTTTTTATTAAATTGAGCTTGAGCGAATTGAACGAAATTTGGGTAACTTAACAGCTCTGGTAGGAATTGTTATTCTAATGTATTTATAATATTTTAATATTTAACACGGATCAGAATTGATAACTCACACACACGTGTGTGTATATATATATATATATATATATGTAATAATAATTTTTAACAATTAATTTTAAAGTGATTTGTAAATTTTCGGGGATAATAAAGTAATAACGCAAACAAACCCTAGTAAATTCTCTTTCATCCTTTTCAAAAACATTATTCTTTTGAGCCACTCCTTCATGCACGACAGTTTCTTCTTTCCGTTTTCCTCTCTCGCTCACGACTCTTGGAGATTTAACACAATCTTCTTTGTGCGGTAGAGGTAAGCTTCGAACACGTCTTTTGCCGTTGGTTCTAGTGATTAGGATATTCCAATTTCTAATATAATCTGAGATTAGTTAGCTCATATCCTTTTTCTAACTTGCAATAAGGCCATTCTGCTTCTAAGTGTCGTCTCTTTGGAAATTAATTTTGTTTTATTTTAGATGAAATTAGTCATGAAAAAAAGTTGCAAATAACAAACTAGGAATCTGGTAAAGTCATTTTGTACGTGATATGTTTGGTTAGTTACATTTTTTGTTTTGGTTTTATCGGATTTTGACAATGTGCTTGATCTGAAACTTATCGTTTAATGTTCCCTTTCCGGATTCTGAATATTTTGAATATCGGATGTTGCATGTTGATCTAAAACTTATTGTTTAATGTTACTTTTTCAGGTTTTTATGGTAAAACTTTTTTGTTGTTAATCGTGAGTGAACTTCAATTTTATTTGTTAGGTTTCAATTTCAATTTTATACTTAATAATATGAGTATTTAACGCTTCTGGGTATTTAATAGCAAGATAAAATATTACCTGTGTATATATCTGGTTTGGTATCTTGATGAATAATAATGTTTGGGTACGGCTACCTCAAAAATACTAAGAAAGTGTGTGCTGAATTTGGCATAATTTATTTAAAACTAGTCTGTTTAGAATTGATGGAGAACAACCTTACAAGAAGTATCGAATAATTGTCTTTCTTGTTTGTCAAAGTTCTACATAATATTTGCTATTTTTGCAGCATTTGTATAAGAAAATTTCCTAAAATGATTGCTTTTTTTTTTTTTTTTTCAATAATGTAATAGATTTTTCCTAACAAATCTGAGAAGAGTCGAGGAAAAATAAACCATAGTTCTGCAATGGCATCTCGAGTTTCACTAAAGAGCAGAGGCAAAGAAGGGAAGGGATCTAAAGGTTCGGATGAGAAATCAACTGCACAGTGCTTGAAAGAGTGGAGCACATGGACCATGAAGAAGGCCAAAGTGATAACTCATTATGGCTTCATTCCTCTGGTGATCATCATTGGCATGAACTCTGACCCCAAGCCCCAACTTTATCAGTTTCTAAGCCCTGTCTGATTCGGTTACTTCTTCTGTAACACCAGATCTTTGTTTCGCACTTTATGTAATGGGGTGGTCCCTATTTGTCGAAACTACATGGTATTATGTTTAGAGGATTTGTGTTTTATATGATGTTAGACTTTGTTTTGTTTATATAAGCCTATGGATTAATAATTATGAATGGTACATTTTTTGAAAATTGAATCTTATTTTTATCATTGGGATTTAGATAGAGTTATTCAATTTGATTTCTTCATTTGAAATCCTCAATGTTTGGTTTTACTTATGTTCAGATTCATGACTTTATGTGTGCAAACGTGCATATAACTTAACTAATAAAAGCTTATGATGAAATGGCATTTTCTTTTGGTGTTTGCAATTTTAGGGATAAGTTTCTTTTATGCTTCTATGTACTGCCATATAATAGTCAAATCATTCCATTTGGTCACATAATTTTCGTATGTGGCACTATTTATTATAATTTTTCTTTAAAGTAAATTCTTTAGCAGAACAACTGGTTTCAGGAATGATTTACATTTTCATGTCACTGACATTCATTTTGTATGCTGAGAAAAAGTACCTGAATGATAGACTGGTTTTCTTATCTTTATTTATTTATTTTTTTCATCTTTCTGTTATGAGATGCATACTACCTTGAGGTGGTAAGTTAGTGAGCTATATTTAGCCCTGGTAGAGGATTGGATTATTTCCTGCACTGTGGCCTTTTTTTTTGGTTAAGCTACAAAATATGTTCAATTTCACTTCCTTTTATATGTTATTACTGTTTTGTATTTTACAACCTACTTTAGTTGGCTGAAAATTTGAATTTGATGCTGCAGAAGGTTAGAGGGCGGGTGAGGGACTTTGTTAGTTAAGTCTTAGTAAAATTTCAGGATTCAAACTTCTGTTTCGGATTATGAGTTACCCATGTGTCTTTTTTATTATTTGTCTACCAATCGAATAACTTGGTTCCTTTAATGGAAGTGGAGGTGTTGTAACAACAGGGTTGACCTGATCAGAGTTCATACTCCAAGTTTATATTGTTTTCGCAAGCCCTGCTATTTCCCCAATTTGAGCTGTTGGAGTATGAGGTAATTGTATCATTTTATGTCTGTTAGCTTAGTTATATACCTGCCTAATGTTTTGGATTTTTTTGTATGATCATGTTGAAAATGTGGCTTTTGGAAGTGCTGAAACTGGTATATGCTATCTTATTTCTGAAATTTGCATCTCATTGCCTAACTCTTAACACATCAAGTTTAATAATGTTTGTTTCATTTAGTCATTTTCTTATGCTCTAAAATATAGTGTAGCTGCCATATTATCTCTGTGAGTCTAATATTGTGTTTTTATCTATGATTTTGGTTTTTGTTCACAGAAAACGTTAGGGAAAGTGGAATTTCAACTTTAGACCATGACTCTCCATTTTAGGGAAGCATATCACCTATAATCATTGCATTATAATTAACCAGTCATAATTTAGAATTATGTGGGATCCATCTAAATTTTATATGTAGCTCACATTTGTAAATGAATTTTTAAATAATTTTTTAATTGTAATTGGATAATTTTAAAGTTGTAGTAAAAAGAATTATAGATAAAATGTCCCCTCCATCTTAGAGTAACAAGGAGTGGCGAATCTCAGAATTTTTTTTTTTTTTTTGGTTATTCATTTATAATATTTATTAAAAACTATCAGTGGATTTTCTAATTCTGTCAACGAAAAATGTGTTTACAAGAAATTTTTTAGGTGTCCAATGGAAAATTTTTCTTAAAAATTTGTTGTTTTTCAATTTTTAGGAGTATTAATGGATACCTATTTTAAAAGGTGGATTTGCCCTTGGTAATGAGCATTGGCCAAGTTTGATTATTATTTCTAAGATGTTAAAGATGCATTAACGAAACCATAAACTTTAAACGAATGTACTTGTGTAACGTGGTCCATCCAATATTTACTACTTAGATTCATAATCTTTTTTATTTTTTTGTTTTTCCACTAAATGGAATTCTTCTCTTGGTAGTTTTCCTTGGCTTATCTCCTTGGATTCTTTCTCGTTCATCAGGAATTGGGCTCTAGTTTTTTTGGCCTTTCACAATATTGTTTTATTTTTATCACGAATTGTTTGTAAGGTAATCTTGGGCAGCTCCTATGTATTTCTTAGTGTGATGCTTGTTTATAATATTTTTGTTTTGTGATTAGAGCTGTAAATGAATCGAATCGACTTTTTTCCTCATTCAAGTTTAGATCAGTTCGATTAATAATAAATGAGCTTATAAACAAATGATCCCTTACCAAATTGTACTACTTCTTATTGAACTTGGTTCGACTAATTTTTGACTAATTTTAACGAGAAAACCCGCTCAAGATTTAAGTCCCAATAAATAGACTCAATGTTGACTACAGTTCGAAATTGCGAACTCCATAACCAACTAAACAAATATTAAGCTGAGGGTGGGAATTTATAGTTTTATCCATCTTTTGTTTTGGTTCTTAAACGATGTGGGATTCATTTGAGTATGATAAGACACACAGCTGAGGAAAAGGATGGGTATTTATATGCTTTGGCCATCTTTTGTTTTGGTTATTAAGCGATGCAGGACTCAAAATCTGCATAAAAGAAAGAAGACGAGAATTTATAGACTTCAACTATCCCTTGTTTTGGTTGTTAAGCGATGTGGGATTCATTGTACATGCACATATTTGTGGTAGAGAAAGAGGATGGAAATTTATGAACTTTACCTATTCTTGGTTTTGGTTCTTATGCCATTGTGGATTGCTAAAAATAGATTTAATTTCTTTCGAATTTCATTCAAAGTTATTATCTAATTTTTAAGGATATAAAATGTTATTTAGTAATAATATTTTTAAAAAGTTAAAAATTATTTTGATTTATGTCATAATTTTTAATGATATAAATTTTACATGATAATTTATAGATTGATAAAAGATATTAAATTTAAAAATAATCAACTTTTAAAGTTTTAAACAAATTATAATTAAATTTATTCATGAACATTAAACGAGTTTATTCATGAACCGAACAAATCTTTATTTATGTTCGGTTTATTTAATAAATGAATATAAGAGTATTGTTCAAAATTGTTTGTTAAATTTCATAAATAAACATAAACAAATAGAAATTAAATATATTCATGAACAAATTGATGAAAATTTTGTTCGTTTACCCTCTTACTTGTGATGCTTTTGTGATGCTTGGATATAATTGTAGGTGAAGTGATATTTCATTTTTATTCCAAAATTTTAAAACAAATTTTTTTATGTGATTTTTTAACAATATTTAAATCATCCATTCTATTAATCTTTATTGAAATTTGACAAAATTTATCAGCATGGAGTCATATTGTTTATGTGGGAAAAAAGTGAATTCCTTTAACTTTTTGATTTAAAATTTATGTTGTATGGAAATTAACGTGGCATCATATGGTATATTTCGCTAATTTTCCAACAATGATTGACGAAATGGTAGATGAAATTGACGAATTTAAAATACTGTGGATAAAAAAATATGAATTTTAAAAATTGAATGACATAGCTCAAGGATGCGTATATGTTATTTCAATTGAAATTTTATGTTTTGGTAAAATAAAAAGAGAAAATAGCATATGTAATCTCTAAATTTTAAGTTAAATTTTATTTTGGTTTTTAAATTTTAAAAAATTTTAATTGATTCCTTAATTATTTGAATGTGTACTAATGTAATTTTTTCATATACTAGATCGTATAAATTAATAGAAAATTTTATGTAGCATAATAAATAACCTTTAAAAATTTAAATATGTGAAATTTTAAGGTTGATTTAAATATATGTAATTAAAAAATTTGAAATTAAAAACAAACCCTAAATCAAACTTTGTTTATAACTAGTCTCTTTTCCCTTCCTTCTTTTTGATCTCTATTTCTTCCAACAATCAAGAGATGGCCAGTCACTTGAAGGGTAGCATATGGTCCTTCCATTACCTACACCGAAAGCTGGAGTACAATAGTAGCTCCACCTTAGTTGGATGAATTGCAGGGGATTATTTTTGAAACTTTAAGACTAATCCAACCCTTCACCAGTCAAGATTCTAATGACCTCTCTCCTTCATCTTCTCCTTTGTTCCCTCTAAAATTAAGAAGAAGAAAACAAAAGGAAATCGAGAGAAAAGAAATTAATAAAATTATTTTCATTTGTTTCAAATCTGGGTGATGATTTAATGGTAAGCCTTTTAGTTCCTATTTTGTAATGTCTTGTGTCCGAATTTTATAAGCTTTTCATATTACCCATACAAATGGAGTTTTTTGTTATATATGATTATAGGAAACTTGGGTAATTTATTTTTGTTTTTATATTAAAAAAATTGAATCTTGTGAAGAATTTGGTTTTATCTTAATTTACAATTCTTTTTATTAATACATGTGTTGAGTTAGTTTATATGTATTCAACTTATTAGTGAGAAATGAATCCTTGTTGTGTTAATTTAATTGTCCTTAATTGTGTTATGTTTTGTTTTAGGGTTTCTTTTGTTTTTAATTCCATGTTTTTTACTTACACAATTTTAAAATTCCATGTATTTAAAATTTTAAAGATTACATGTCATGCCAAGTGGAATTTTTCATTAATTTAGATAGTGTAGCAGATGAAGGAATTACATTAGTATACATTTGGATAACTGAGGATTCGATTAGAATTTTTTAAAGTTTAAGAACTAAAATAGAATTTGATCTAAAATTTAAAGATCACATATGCTATTTATTCAAATAAATATGACAAGATTTGGTTAAAATAAAAAGTGACAAGATGTAGGGTATCAAAAGGGTATTCAATGGTATTCAATCTATTTAAATTGAATTATAGTATCTTATAACCATGTAGGGTAATGGTACAGAGCTTGGTGTATTCAATATTTGAATTTGATTCTCAAAAATTAAAATTTTAATATTTATTTTATTATTTATATTATATTTAATGTATATATTATGATTGACAAATCATTTATTTAAATTTATAAATTATCTAAATATCAAATGTATTTTTAAATTTATTAATTTAATTTGGATTGATGAGATATTAAAAATAGTTAATTTTTATTTTTTTATTAAATTTTAATCAAATTAGGTTTTGTTATGGTAATCGTAACATTTTTAACAAATGGGTTGTTTGGTCGTTTTCGTTTTCGTTTTCTATTTTTGTTTTTAGTTTTTTTTTTTTAAATTGAAAACAAAAATGTGTTTGGTAGGTTATTTTTATTTTTTATTTTTGAAAACTAAAAACAACATTTTAGAAAGTTCTGAAAATTGCTGAAAATAGAAAAATGGTATTTTTAAAATTTTGGAAACATTTTTGATACTATTATCATACAGGCACTATTCATCTACTCGGCTACAGTACCTCTACAGTATTGTTATAGCTCAAAATTTTTGCTTTTGTCGAACATC